TAAACTCAGCAAAATATTCTAAAAGAGTCCAGTAGCCCATAATAGTATTGGGTCTTCTGCTTGACTGGCAATGTCAGAAATTGTTGACCTGAGTCCTCTACAGCTCAACATAACTCAGATTTATATAAATTCCCATCCTATGTCTTGATTTGATGCCCCCTCATACAAATATGGCTTAGTCTGTATTCTGTGAGCCCAGGTTCAGGTACACTTTATAGAGATGGTCTGTAGAATTGTGTGAAATTCTCTAATGTCTTGAGTATGAAGACAACCATTTGTTAAAATCACCACCGCCATGTGTTATGAAGCACAGTGGTTGGATGAGTTCAAGGCAAGGAAGGGGAGAGGGTTTCATTTATAGGGGTCCCTGTGTTTCATGACACTACGCTTCTGACCCCCTTTCTTTGTCCCTTCCTGCTAACCTGGGCGTGAGACACAGGAAGGATATCCCTCCCCTGCCCCCCCCACCAGGCGGCCCCTCGACCTGTCCTTCCAGGCAGGGTGCTGTAGGTGCCAGCCCTCCTGTTGCCTGGGGACCCCTGTCCTTCTCACAAGGGCACACAGGTTCTCTCTTCCTCCAGGGCTGCCGGAGGGGAGTGTCTCACGCTGTGTGCTCTGTATGCATTTCCACTTCCTATTTATGGAACGAGAGTGCTCAAGAGAGTGCCCACTCTGAGCGCCGCCTCTCGCTCCCCGGCAGGATCACTGGGATGAGCCAAGCGTGCTCACTCTTGAATAGCTAATGTCTGTCGCCCAGAGAAGGAGAAAATTATTTTTTGGCCTCCACGCTGATGTGTACAGAACATGTGTTTTGAGTAGCTGCTCTTTCGCTGCCTCTTTTTCCATTTGAGGTGCAACATGAACTATTTTAATTAATACTGTGTCACCAAAAGGGATTGAAATGGCCAATTGAATTCTGCCAAGATAGAGTCTTTTGATGAAAACATATCTTTATTGATTGTGGATGAAGAAAATCATTCTTAAAATGAAATCCAGAGAAAAATCATATCCCTCAGAGAAAATTTCTGAGTGGCAGGCCGAGATTAACATCCTAAAATTGAATTTGTGCTGCAAGCCTTTGATGTAATCAGCAGCTGGGAGATGGGAGTGCCAGGCCGCCTCCCTCCAACTGTGGTGAGGTATTGTGTGGAATGAAATCAGTGTTTCTGGTGTCCCTCCTGGTGTCCCTCCTGCAGGAGGGGAGTGAGGTGTCAGGGCAGGCAGGCTTCTTGCTGGTTAGAGGGTTGGTTGAAGGCAGCTTCCGGGCTCCCCAGTGCCCATGACCATGGCAGTTGGGTGTGTCTGTGTCCCTGAACAGAGGCCCTTGTATTGGACAGTGACTTCTCTGGCAGTGGGAACCCAGCAGGGATAAAAGGGACACCTCCTCAGGTCTGTGTTCAGGACAGGCCCCAAAGTGCCACTGGTCTCTGGTTTCTGGTGGCCGTTGAGTCCTGCCCATCCCTCCCCTGAACTCTCAGCCCCTCCTAGAACACCCAGGGTACCGAGCTCAGTGCCATGCAAAGTGGCACTGTGCACGGTGACTCTTGTTCCTTGACACCCAGTGGGCTTTGGAGGCTCTGCTGTCAGGCGTGGGCTGCACAGTCCGTGGGTCATGAGCACGGCTGCAGGCTGAGTAGAGGAGACCTGCGTGCAGCTCTGTCACGTGGCTGAAGAGTGACTCGCACCCTGGCCGCTGCTGTGCTGGGCCGCCCTGCCTTTTGTGCTTGTTGTGCCTCCTCTGAGGCAGTGGGCGACTGGCTGTGTGGGAGCTGTGCACAGCTGTGGGGACCCTGGGAGGAGGGCAGCCCTGCTGTCAGACAGATGCAGGGCTGTGAGGGGCTCGCAGAAGTCTGGGTGCACCAGCCGCCTTTCCCCAGTAATCCTGGGGAAGGCTGCTGGAGATCCTCAGAGTGTGGGGTGAGCACGGGTGTGAGTGCCCTGGGGACTCCTCCTTCCCCGCGCTGGGCTCCAGGCGCTGGGGACATTTGCTTTCACATGGGGAGGCTGCTCCTGGGCACAGGGCCTTGAGGTTCTGGACGTCTCTGTCTGTGGTTGTGGAAGCCACCACGATGGTGGTACGTCCTCCCTGGGATATAGGAATACTTTGAAACTAAATGTGTACAAAGAAAAGAGAGGGCTGGAGAGAAG